TACTATTAATTGTGTTATTTTGTACCAGATGTAGATGAATGTAAAAACAATCCTTGTAAAAACGGTGGGAAGTGCACTAATTTGATGGGAAGTTACAGATGTGACTGCGCTCAAGGATTTACAGGCAAACACTGTGATCAAGGTCAGACATCATTTTGCTTTTGTGGAAATTAGCCTTTAGGAATTGGGTGAATAGAACATTACTAAGGGAGTTCTAACGCTACATTTAGTCAGGTACCTTCCCTATATAAGCTATACGGGTATGTGCTGCTGTGAGGGGTATGGTTTTCACTCAGTATAGTCTGGGATAGGGAAGAGAAATCAGACAGATCTGGTCTAGAATAGGGTATAATTTACTGCAAAAGTGGCCAGTGTATAAATAACGTAATCAAGAACAGGGTTTTCTATCCGGGGTTCTATAATAAAAGTTGAAACTTGGAAGTGACTTTGTAAAAGATTGGTTCATTCAGCGTATGTTGGACTAGGATAGTGATATTAAAGTTCCTGCATGGAAATAGCTAGTCTGGGATAGAGTAGGGTTTTTGGTGCCTAGTGTAGAATAGGGTTGCGAAATCAAACTGATCATAGACTAGTATAGGGTAAAGGTTTCAGTGTCCCAACGGCGCACCCCTCCCCAAAGATTCAGACAGAGGATCACTCCGGGGATATATACTAGCCAGGTTAATTTGGAAAACGAAGTTGATTATACAGCGTTCATTTTCCCCTCCTACAAAGAAATCGAAAAAATCTTGGAATGTCTTCTCTTTTTATTACAGCTTTCATTGGTAGTTCTATGTAAATCACAGTGTCTTACCGGTGTTCGATTAAAAAAAAAAAAACCAACAAAAACCAACAAAACAAAGAACGAATGGAGCTCACTCGTTTTAAAGTTCTTGTACCGTGTTTTTTCATATACTTAACAACGCCTTTAAAAGTGTCGGATACTGTTACGAGCTTGCTTATGCCATAGTTTCAACAGGTTTTATGTAGATAACAATCATACAAGGAGATGCCGCTAAACCCATACATCACTTTTACATCAAAGATGCTTGTTTTTGTCTTCGAGTATTTAGATTTATACATTTGGCTTCACTAGTTTGAAATTTTGTAGTTTAGAAGGATAAGGATGATTTTCTAATAAAGTCTAAAATGAAGCTGAAAACAGAACGTATTACAAGAACTCCTTGTAAAGACTGGTAATTTACTGAAGAAAATACAAACAAACAGAAACGAGATAAGGCGCTTTGAAGACCATGCGTTTTTAGTGGTTTTCATTATTTTAAGACGACGTAAGCTTACAAAAAGAAGCTTCGTTGGTGGAATTAAGATTAGGCAAACGTACTCAGTTCAACAAAAATAAGCATTTTAGGTAAACTTATGAGCTGATGTCGTTCCTTGAGCTAGAAGAGGCCTCGAAAAAGAATAGATATTAGCCTTGCCTATTCACGCTCGCTCACACGAGAGCAAAAAAAGGCGAAAAATTTGTCATTTCTCAAGGACGGATTTTCCCTGTTTTTGATTAAAATGGATAAAAACTGGTGAGGAATCGATCGACGGAAAGAAAAATCGGGGACACCGAGCATCCAAATAAGTAAATTGTAGGCGAAGTTAGCGCAGCCGGTGCCAAGCCCTATACTTAAATTTAAATTTCTTAAACACTTAAATTTCTTCCGTCCGCTTGATATATGACGCTTCACGTACGTGGCGTGACGTTGCGACATGAATTTCGTGCGTAGAAAGGATGCGCAGTAACAATGAGGGTGCTTAATTAATGGCCAGGGTGAGTTTGTTTAACCTATGAAACAAAATCTAACAACGATATAAAATACTCAAAACTAGACAACTAGATCGACAAAAACAAATAATGAAATTATTGTAAGTGTTGAATGTTATCCTTCAGGGGCATAATTTGGATTACCTAGTGGAGTCTTCAACTACTGTAAAACAATAATAATAATAATAATAATAATAATAATAATAATAATAATTCAGTGTTCCAAGCTTTCGCCCAACCACGGCATATTCAGGGATGCCAAGGATCGCGAAAGCTTGGAACAGTGACTTATTTTTTACAGTAGTTTAAGGCCTCAAGAAATACTACAAAATGAAATTGTTGTATTAAACTGTGTTGTAACTTTTACACGGGTTAGGCAGAATCACTGTAAGAAGACTCAGACGCGCTGGGTTACTTTTTGGAAGCTTGGACAGACTTTATCATCCTAGTTTAGCACCCCTTTCTGCCCACATGTATAAATCTGGTGAATTAGCTGTTTTTAAAATCCTGAGATAAGTTATAAATTTTACGATTTGCCAATTGAATGATTGTTTGCTTGCTCGAGTGATCGATTGATTCGAAACCGTAAAACATGAATAGAGACAGCCTAAAGAGAATGAAGACTGTCTTTATAATGCGTCTAAAACAGATAAATATACACCCAATTTGTTATTGTTAGACATAGACGAATGCAAGGAAAATAACCCCTGCAAGAATGGTGCTACTTGCATTAACCTGATTGGCGGATTTGAATGCAAATGTCCGTCTGGTTATCAAGGAGACACCTGCGATCAGGGTAAGCCTTTTAAGATATCTTATATGATATTATGATAAAATGGATTGTCTTATCCCGGAAGAAATACTTGGCGTTGCTAATTTTCAAAATAACGTAAAATAGATACAGCTTAGTTATTCTGCTGTAAAAGTTGGCCTATGCTTTTTCACCCAATTTTACTTCTTAAAGGAGACAGTCAGTTTTAGACTGTTCACAGTCCTCTATTTTCTCGTATTTTTTATTCGATCGTTGATTGCGCGGAAAAAATCGCAAGAGAACTGGACGCCAGCTCAAAGCTTAGAAGATAGGAGCCAAGGAGTAAAATTCTAAATTCGCCATTTCCAGATGATAAACGTGCCCTACACCGTACCATGAGTTGCTCTTATACCTTCTTACTCAGTTTAAATGGATTTTGTCCACCAAAAACATATTTTTTGAAGCTTGTGATGTAACTAGACCCAGTACTTGATCGCGGGAGTTTCCGTCATCCGGAATATAGATATCGTTTAATGTGGCCCATCTTCTCTTTTGCGCAGCATTCTCAGCAAGTGAAGGGAAGTTTCCCTCGCTACGCTCCCCATTTTCTCCATTTTTTTTTTCTTTTTTTTTTTTGCATTAGCAGGCGGTTTCTTCCTAATACTTTACTATGTTTGCAAATTGAGCTTTCTAAGCTTACTTTCAAAATAAACCGCCACACCTGTAGCGAATATATCCCACTTGGGAATGTCGAGTTTTACTACAGCAAACAAAGCTTAGCGAACTGAGCACCAATATGAATTATGCATATGCTGTATTTAAGTATATGGTTACTCATGCACTATCACTTTCTGCGCATTTCCGTGGTTCTACTCAAGCTCTCATTGTGACTTAAAGCGTAATTTTACCATTTACAAATGTTGATACCCGATACTGGATGAAGCAACGACCAATAATAATGGTACTCAGAGGATAGGTAAAAGCGTGACCGTTGGGAAGTGCTGTGTAATAATGTGGGTGACATCCTATCATATAAAATAAGTTATTGAATTTTAAACTGCACTTCTCTGTCTCTAGATATTGATGAATGCATTAACAATCCTTGCAAGAACACCGGTAACTGTTCCAACACTATTGGCGGTTACAACTGCAAGTGCATCCTCGGATTTGAAGGGAAGGATTGTGAGAATGGTAAGCACTGGAATTAAAATGATGTTTATAGAATATTTCGGTCTCACTAAAGGTGATCAGGGCGGAATACCAATGCTTTTACCCATCTTTCATCATGGTTAGGTTTGAACCTGAGGAAAGAAAAAAGTATTTTTCTTGTTGTTTTTATGTTTTGGATCTATTAGGCATACTTTAGGACTTTAAATTCCCAATCTCTTTCCTTTAGTCTATGTTACTTACTGTCCAAGTTTGTCCAGAGGAGCGATTCTCGAGAATTCCATGACAAGCTCCATTTCGATTGGCATTTAAAACAGTAGAACTGAGCGGAGGTACAACACCAGGACCTCGATTGAGCCACCTGTTTGTCAGCAAAGCATGCCTAATTAAACCGGAAGTCTGATATTTTCGGGTTTCAGATCTTTCTAGGGTCGCTTGGTCCTGGACTAAGGAAATGGGAGGAGGGGAGGGGGGAGACCCTCGGTAAGATGCTGCATAATTCTCGATAAGCGTATCCGAATTTTTGCTTAATATTGGAGCCCCTTCTTCCCGAGAAGAGTTTCGTGTAAACAAGGCTTTCGGAGATGAGAGGGGGAAGGCTTGACTTAGCAGTCATTGAGCAATGACGTTTTCTGACACGACAGAAAATGTCGGCCAGTTACTGACTGATATCTAGACGGCAATTATGTTCACTTTCAGATGTTGATGAATGCAAAGGAAGTAACCCTTGCAAAAATGGTGGAACGTGCGAGAACAAGATAGGTACCTACAAGTGCATCTGCCCAGATGGAGTTACAGGATTTAACTGCGAGACAAGTATGTGATACCGACAACAAATATAACGTATCCAGCAATTTTTTTGTGATGTTAATGTTGATGTAACTGCCTCATAATCGAAAATTTTTGAGTCAAGAAAGAAGTATGACGAGTGATTGACAAATATTTTTGATAAGAAACGCTTGGACTGTATGTCTCGTTGTTGTTGGTGGTGGTGGTGATGAGACAAACAGTAACACAAACTGCCGTCAATTCAACGTTTTATGCCTGTCTTTCATAAACACAATTGATTGTAACCCGCGAGTTTCCAGAACCACCCTTCGCAGGAATCTTACATTAGGAAGGCAAAGAATGGTTACACAGGAGTTTCTTACCCAGGGATATAACGATGGCCAGCATACACCTCGTATCCACGACACTTTGGTCACGTGGACACGAGGCA